TCAGAATTACAGGAAATAAACTGTAAGTAATGAATAAGCCTCACAAATTTTTGACCTAATCTTCTCCATTTATGATTTTCNTTTTTTTCTATTATTCTCTGCTGTTCTTTTTGCTGCTCCTTAATCTAATTTTCTCTCTCAAGTGACTGGGGGAGGAGTGCTATTTTTGGTGTTACTAGGGTTTTTTGCTAAATTATGCTTATAAGTGGACGAATTTAGCAATGACACACATTGTATAGCCCGTCCAAACGCCCCATTCTTCTTCATTTTGTTGGTCTCATTCCCGTCCAGCCCCCTTTTAACGATTTTTCCAAACCTTCTTCCACTTTGGAAACACCTATTCACGCACTTTCTTCACCTTCATCGCATTATTTTCCATTTATCTTCCATTTTTCATCAAAATTTGGATTACCCAAAAGTATCGTGAACTGAAAGCCTTTGAGTGTACATTTTTACTCTTTCCTACCTGATCTCATGTCTTTGTAGAATGAATAGTAGTGTGCTTCAAGTCAGGAACATCTCAGGCACATATGAATAAATAATTAAATGAACAAATAACCAGGATATAAAAGGAATTCAGGGGATCGCTCAGTCGATCGCATTCTGTACATGTACGGGGTGTCCCGAAATTATGGGCGCCAAAATTAAGAAACTTCTAAGGTTGAAGTAGTTTATCAAATTAACTTCACCCGCTCGTGGTTTCGTTGGCGCGAAAATTGAGAAAGGACTGTGCTCAAAGGGCATACTGAAGGACGTAAAGAAAGACTGATCCATTTCTGCTTCCTGAAGCAGCTCGCAGTCTTCCCAGCAGGATGGTATTCCAGCCCACAGAGCCGAATTGCCCGGAAGTGGTTTCGCCCCTGATGGTCCCTGATTAGAAGAGGACCTGTTGGTTTTCCAGTCCCTGTTTGGAGCCCTAGAAAGCAAGACTCGAAAAAAGGGTGGGGAGAAATGGAGCAAGATATCTGTGTGCAACATGCGAGGTGTTCGAGAGCAAACTTTGGGCCCTTCACCTTCGTGTTGGATATTTTGAAATGTGAATGTAGCATCTTGTAGCACATGATGTAAGCAAACGTGTACATATATTCTGTTGTCGTTCACAGCTGAGAAGCTTAAAATACATTGCCATGACTTGGCACCCATAATTTTGAGACACCCTGTGGTAAGTTCTGATTCCACAGTGGACTGACGATCAGAAACAAACTGTTTTCACCTTTATAATTACTTCTCCTCTTGACTGTGTCTCATAAGCTGCTTGGTATTCGTCGATGAGCAGGTCGTGCGCTTCCTTAGACATATGAATGTGACCAGCTGAATGAATCAGAATTACAGGAAATAAACTGTAAGTAATGAATAAGACAAATTTTTGACCTAATCTTCTCCATTTATGATTTTCCTGTTCTCTGAATTGAACTTTCACGGAGGTAATTCTTGAAGGCGAACTTACGTTTGCCATTGCTTTCCATTCGTGATGAAGTGTTCACAGTGTCTCCGAATAGGCAATAACGAGGCATACTCAGTCCAACGACACCGGCGACACAGGGGCCTACAATGAATTTGCCTTTCAAGAAATACTCTTCAATCAAGTAAACTTCATCATCATTCCTTACAGAAAAGATTGCTTTTCTGCAGGCCAGAAGATCACAACCTCAAATTGGGGCTCACTTTCATCGTATACGGGATTATTCGGTATTGCAGTATTTGCGTTGTTCTGAATGATTTTTTGTGGAGTCACCGTAGGAACGAAAGTGCTGACCGGAACGGGGCAAATTCCTCGAAACCTTGTTCGCCAGAGATCGGTCAGAAACCGTCTCTGCAATTGCCCTTCTCGAACTAGTCCCCTGGTTGGGATGAGCTCGACTACTCGTCTCGGACCGCTTGAGACCTTCTTTTGCGTTGCGAAATAACGTTCCTGACAAGAGTGCACGGCTTAGCATACGCAGTGCACTCTTGTCAGGAAAATTGCGCGGAGTTTTGACACGACGGTGATAACGGTAGCCATTTTTCGGTTAGCATTTATAATTTTCTGATTGTAAAACCAAACATAGTTTGATTGGAAAGAAGCAAAAGCTCTGGCAGATTGTGGCCATTTGCAACTTCTCAAATGTTGGAGTAGATAAGAACAACTACCTGAGTTGAATCCGATTCGAAGTTGAACTCGTTCTCTCGGAAGAGCAGCTATTCTGAACTCATCCACAAATTCCATGAAGGACAGAGACAGCTCAGCTATTTCCTTGATATGAACTGAACCATTTCTCACCGGAAGCCCAGATACGCACAAATAACCATCGCCGATGGATTCGACCTGAAACAATCGTTCCGACAACAGCTTCACGACACTAACGTGGCCAGGGAACTGCTAATTCAAAGAAAACAGTCAGCATTCAACAGCAAGCTTTCAGGGGTACAACCGGAGAATGCAAGCCCTTATCCCCGACCTTGCCTTTTCTTCTCTTTTTTCTTCAGACCTTCTTGGCCCACATTTTCGTTTCGGACAGACTGAGGTGAATGATGCTTGGGCGATCTGAGATGATCAGTCTTCGAGCACCGTGACGAACCTATCTTCATGGTTGATTTCGTATCTGATTCGAGCGTTCACTATTTTCCTTCGTTTTCCGCCAATACTATGAATAATGAAGAAGGATTGTAGCACAGGTGATTCATTCTTATTAAACTTTCACCTGCGATTAACTGACAACCATTACCTTGTATACGGAATGCTCCTCAATGATGGAGTCAAATCCATTGTAAAGATCATTAAGAAGGTTCACGACCTGTAATAAGAAAACAGAAAGAAATAACAAAGTGCTGAGGGCAATATTGAAGACGGTTCATCGTACTTGAAATGCTGTGCACTGGGCAGCTAATTGAGTAAACCTGACCACATCGGAAAAGAACACTGTGACGCTATCGAAACTCTCTGGTTCCACTGCTTGTCCTAATTTCAAGCGATCCGCTACTTGCCTGAAGATGTCCTGTTGAGATAATAGTTAAATATGTAGAGCATGAAACCCTTTCATAGACAGCGAATACGAAATAGGATGTTAGGGAAAAAAGAACGGTGAAGAAAGCCTCAAGTGGTCCGTAAGTGCAGTGCGCATCCTGTCACAATAGATGACCTACGACTCTTCTTTGAACGTGGTTCAGTAGCAAACCATTGGGTCACAAATGGGTTCAGTAGTGTCTCACGATTGCAACTCCACTCATTTGGGACTCAGTAACTGTTTCAGTGGCCCATCGACCAAGGCGGAGGTAAAAACTGCCTATCATCGTCCTCACATCACAAATCAAATTGGAATCAATTTTATAGTCTTCGGGTTTCTTACACTTTTTTTTGCTTGCTGTTGCTGTCATATACCAAAGCTAGTCCTATTGTTCAGATGCAGCGAAGTGTCGTTCTTGATGTTCATGAACCAACTATTATTTAATTTTTCGACTCCAAACTTCTCAAATGCTCAAAGAGATTAACAATATAGAGGCAGCTCGTTCATACCTGGGCAGCATCTTTCCCAAAAGAAGGTCGGCCTTCTTCTTCTCTTCCTGCAATTGCTTTGTTCGCTCTTCGACATCCAACTCAAGTGTCGTGGTGTAGTCTTCCAACATGTTAAACATATGATCCATTAGATTGGCGTTCTTGTCCGGCATCATCGTCTTTAAAGAAGTCCCATTTCTTAGGTATTTTTCATCCAAATGGTATGCTCCTGCGACCAGAGCAATGCTACTACCTTTAACATATTGCACAGAGTTTCACCGTTTGGGCGGTCCGCCGGTCTTTCGTTCCAGCAGTCGCGTATAAGATGGAGCTGTAAAACATGCGTTGACACTGACTTGTTCACCTTTCCTCAATCGTTACGAAGTTAGCGTTCATCTCTCACTCGTCAAAATTAGACTTTAGAAGATATTTCTTCAAACCCCCGCTCTGTGGTTGAGTCCAGTGGGAAGATTAGAAGTACGGCTAGTACGGCTCTAACTTGGAGCTCAGAGTGTATGCTTGATGACAGCAGTGGGATCTCCTGACCGTCGTTGTCTCAAAAAATGCATTCGGCTGAGGGCAGTGGTGGCTCGCTCTCCGGGCATTGCAACTTTACTTCCTTTTTACAGCACAAAGGGAAGAATTTTAGTCACACTTTGGAGAAAAGGGTGAAGAATCTACATTCCCATTGCTTAGCGTACAAATTAGGAGTTCAGAAAGAAAACGTGTTGCGGTCGAATCCTCGCTGCTTTCCCTTAGCAGATTGGTACACCCCACAAGCAGTGCTGTTTTGTTAGATGAAGATACAACTCTTTCCTATGCGGAAGGAGCGTGGTAAACACAGGACACTTAGTAATGGGTACACTTCGAAAGAGCGTAAGCAGACCCAGTGTTGCTTACTTATGAAATAAATTGCTCAGCTCTCCTCTTTAGCATAAAGATTCATAAAACAACCCCAAAATGATTGTCCTATCGGGATACGACAAATTCAGAGGTGTCAAAGGCTAATCTTTTGCACCATCGATTGAAAGCTAACGCTAAAAGAATGGAGAAATAGTTACCACCGCCATATTTATTTCCCCATCAACGTTGAGATCTGGTCGCGGTGGTGTGGGTCCTCCCTTTTTCAACATATAAAGCAGTTCTAAAATAATAAGGTGAAGGGTATAAACACTTGGAATCTCACTGTCTCACCATCAATTCGTTCTCTTCGTTCATTCAGGTTCCATGCCGCTTTCCGCGTTACAACCTCAGAGGCTACAATAGCAAAAGAATAGATGTCGCCCTCCTTGGACTTTTTCACCGAGGTCTCAGGAGATCGTAGATGTTCAGGAGCGAGCCATAATAGACCTTAGCAATGTATTTACTAATCAAGGCCACTAAACATAGTTTATGATGTCAACACAGACTACAGTTCATTAGCAAATTAGTAAGTTATTTGGACAACAGTTATTGCCTTTTTTCGGGGGAAGGCACTTCGAATGCACTAGATCTTCAGTTCACCGTTCACTTCCTTTTGCCAGGTATTGGTTAGAAGGGACAGCAGATCATGTTGTTCATTTTAGCATCAATAGAATCCTGGTAAAGATACGGGTATTGTGGGTATGGTATACACTCAATATCAGATACCGCCCATCAAAGGTATTCCAAAAGAGTAAAGATCTTATCTACTAATTACCATTTCTTTGTCAGTGCTTTCAACCTGAGTTTCTTCTTATTTTGGTTATGGTTATGTGAGTGCACTTGATACAGATGCTTGCTACTGTACCGGATTCTTTCAAAGCCTCTTATTACAGGATCTATAATAAATAGCAATACATGACACCTTTCACATTTCTGTATTGGTGTGGGTTGAGCCTACCTTATCGAAGCTTCAATTTTGTGGAGAAGATAAAATGATAAAATGAAAATGATAAAATTTCCCCTTAGTATTGCTAGTGCCTCCGTCATCAAATGCACCTTAGCCCGAAAGTGATTATTACCATGACTTTCCCATACGAACTTGAGGCATCTTCTGACTTCCTCACTTGCATGAGCACTATTGTTAAATTTTGATCCATAGTGTGCCTCAACTTCAAGACTTTGGTGCATGTAATGAAGAGCGTTGTAAGACAAAGCGACTCGTTTAAAAAAGCAGAAGTCATAGTTCAAGTATGTTAAGGTGAACTCTGATTAGACTCTAACATCTCTAACGAAGCCATTCCAAATTACTGCAAGTGCACTGACTGCCATCCTCTCTCTAAAGCCACATCGAGGGTTTCCAAGGCCTCAAAAAAAAACAAAAAAACCATTTCCCTAGAATCGCCATTTTCCGATAGGATCCTCATGAAGGGAGTAGAACCTCTGTGCCACTTGTAATAGTACGACGAGGGGTTGGGCTGTAAGGTTCGTGGGGAACCACACACCATTTTCGATATGCTAACTATCGAAACTTTAAATGCTCTGCAGACTATGGCGCTCATTGTGGTGATGCGCGATTGCTCACGTACGGTGATCCAAGGCCCAGTTCTTATTTTCTAAAGCCGCGCCTTCGTTTTTTAGAGCTGCTTCCTAAAACGGACCGTGAAAGGTGTCAGCATATACCCAGTATGTGTTTGGCTCTATTTTGCATCCGTAAAAAATCTAAATGTCCTAGAAGGCTGAGAAGAAAACTTCGGAACCAGATAATGCAGATAATAGACACATTAGCTTAAATGTCTCCCGATTGATGTGCGCAAAATCAAAAAGTTACGTCTTTTCTTGAGCCGATCATCCTCTCGCAATGAATCAGTACCGTAGTCCGATATTTTAACTTGCCAGCTGTCAGTCACCAAACAGCAGTTCGAAGAGAGACGACCGTGACAACCAATGATCGAGTTTTGTAGGAAGCGAATGCCCTACGACGGTAATATCTTGAGCATCCTTGATCATGATGCCTTTATGAAGCGATTTACCTCAGCGATATCCCTCATTATACATAGCATAAAGAACGGATCAAACCACAACGAACCCTTCGAGATAAGCTCCTGGAACATCGACCGAATTATTTATAAGTTTAAACTTGTTTTGGGACAATAGCTCTACATGTTCATTCAAAGAGATGGTCCCAGAATAGTTCTCGAAACCTACCTGTAGAGTGCCTCTGGAACACATACGCCAAATAGCTATATAATTGGAGCCATCAATCGAGAGCCCAATAAATTGATTAATATTATCGTGACCAAATTTCCTCATCTGAATTTGTTACATGCTCTTTTGTTAACTGAGACAGGGGAGAACATAAACAGGGAAGAAGACTTATGAGAAGTTGCGGAAATCAGCATACATCAAATCATTCGGCTCGCCCGGCTAACGTCAGGCTCTCCTAATTCTTGTGTCAAACACCTTATCCTGAGAAATGTTGAACTAAAGAACTTTTCCCTTTTTCAAAGTTTTTAGATTTTATGTTTGTATTCGCTGTTT